TTCCTGCACGCCCTGGATGCTTTTGCTCCTCACGTGACTAAATTTGGCGAATAGCGGCGCCGCGCGCGCCGCCGCGCATGGATCACAAAGACAAAAAAAAAAAAAAGAGGAGAAAGCGACGAAAGCAGGGGAACATGCGTCGGGGCGCGAGCAACGTGGGCGGAGCGACCGTAAAGGTGGCTTTCTTGCACGGCGCCAGATGCAATTTGCTCCTCACGTGATGGATCTCGACGAATAGTGTCGTCGCGGTGCGGGGAAAACAAATGCGCAACTATTGAGGAACTCTAGGGTAGTGCAGTGGTCGAACCTAGCCTTCCTGGCAGTAGTGAACAGCAAAGCTCCTGCCGTGATACCACAAGGCATCGATTGCGGTGCACTAGGCTCCCTGAATATGGCAATGTTCACAAGTTCAGCAACTTCGCCGGTGTTACTTATTTGGAGACTGCTCTTTCGCCGAAGTCTAACAAGATCAGCATCGAAAGGGCGGTGTTCATTTGTTTCGACAACTTACCTGATGTAGTATGCCATTGTAACCATGTATTTCAATGCCGTGCTCTAAACTATTACTACTTTTACCTTGCCTTACTTACGTGTGCTGTTGTTTCCTGGTCTAAATTATGTGAAATCGTTACTTGTTTTTTTTCTTTGAATCTTGTAAAGCATTGCTTTTTCAGAAAACATTGTCTCAGTTTTCGGACTCAAGTTCAATGTTAAAAATGATATGAGTTGTCACGGCTTATAAGCCATTTCTTACAAGTGAACGTCGGGTAGTCCTCGGATGGTCGAGGCAGCCATGAAGAAATATAAGATTCTCATCTCTTTGCCACCGTTGCTTGGGTATGTACACAAGAATGAGTGACAAATGAAGCGAGCTGATTGAGGTCCAGAGGAAGACGGGCAGAAAAGAATACAGAAAAGTTGACCTGGCATACTTAAAAACATACTAAAACAGTCTTGGGCTTTAATATGTGCAGTTTCGTTCCACCAAAAAAAAAAGAACTGCTTTTGAGTTTTACATATTTCCGCCAAATATCTAATGTTTGGTCTTTTGCCACCAAGGAAATGGGCATTTTATTTAAAATGCCCAACATCCGACGGACCGAAAGTCGCAGCTAAATCGACGCTAAAACCACTTGCAATTCGCTTCTTTAAAGTCTCAATTGTTTTTATGTGAAGGCAGAGTAATGTAGCTTGTACCATCCAATACATTGAAGCTTCATGTTGCCAACGGTTGTGCCGCAGCGTAATTGATGCCACAGTGCGACCGCTGGCAGGTATGTAGCTGTATGAGAAATCCTTTGTGCACCCTACCAAAGCCGCACCAAAAATTCATATTTTCGTGCCTGCAGCCGCGCATGCGCTCACCTTCTGGGTAACGCGCCGGTGTCGACACCTGTCGCGATAAATAGCACGCGCCTCAGGCGAGCCGCTCCAGTCCCAACACTACCCAAGCATTCTAGTCTACTGTAGATCTATGGTCACGACTCACGTTGGCCACAACATCGTTTCAACTTTTTGACTAGGCTTCACCAATATTGCAACGTGCCCCCTCCTAGTACTTCTAACCTCCTTGTTGCTTCACGTTTAGCTTTCGGTCTGATAAAACCTACCGGACGGAGCGCGCGGAAGCAACACCACCTAGACAGAAGGCCTCCGCATGGTTTCCTCTTCTATGAAATGTCATCACAGTCGGATCGCGCTCGGTCGGCTATTGGACCCGAGCCCGACCTTCGACGCGCTGATTGGCCACGAGCCGCAGCCGAACACTGACACAGCACTCGTGCCCAATCTCTTGCCTCGATCGATCTGACTATGATGACGCGTGTGGAGGCCTTCTGTCTAGGTGGTGTTGGTGCAAGCCTGCAAGGAATCCTACTACAATCAACCATCCATCTCGCACGTGACATGTAACGCGCACCAACCGCCAGAGAGATCTGGGGTCACATTGGGCACAACATTGTTTAAACTTTTTGTGACTAGGCTTCACAGATATTGCAACGTGCCCCCTCCTAGTACTTATAACCTCCTTGCAGTGCCCCCACCAAATACGTAGTCATCCCCCACAAGAGCGTGGGACGAAGATATGACAAAACCCGTGCACCTTAAAATTACATGGTCTGTAGACCGACACGCGGCCCCGACGTCACGCAGCTGCGGTGGTGCTGTTGACGGCACTGCGCATGTGCAGACGCTTCACTTCACGCGAGTTTGGTTTTTGCGCTCGCGCAGTGCCTACACCTGGTGTGGGCAAATGCGGGCTTGTTTGTAAACAGCGTGTCGGTCTATAGTTTCCCTCCCGTGGTTGCATACGCCGCACAGAGTGTATTTTCTGGAATTTAGCCTTATATGTTTTCGTTCTTAGCACCCCCGCTCTAGCTTCTAACAGCAATGAGCTCCTCACTGAATTTACCCTGCGACTACGCCACAACATGGCGTCTGGGTCCAAACAAATCGTTGCTAGGGACGTTGCTATGGACTAATGCATGGACACTCCACATGAGCCTAGATTTTTGCTTACAAGTAAGTAACCTTTTGTAAGCAACCTAACTTCTTGATATCTAATTATGAAGATGTTCTTGTCGAGCCATTTATGAAGTATTGCTACAAAGGCTGTACAACTAGTGTGTACTCCAGTTCGCTGAACCTCGAAGCACACACTTTGCAATGGAAGGGAAGACCTGGGAGGAGGAAGCACATGGGATGCTGGAGAGGAGAGGGGGAAACCGCCTCCTCAATTAGCGTTCTGCCTACTTCCTCCTTCCTTTCACTCGCCCTACCTTCTTGAGTTACAACGGACTATGGTCAGGTACAAATGACCTCATCATCATCCATCATCACACAGGAGTACTATTTCGGTTTCGTTCACAAATCGAAAAGTTCCGATTGCAACATAAATATTGGTAAAAAAAAATTTTTTTCAACAAACATTTTTTTAAAACATGTCTAACCAGATAGAAAAAAAGAATTTTCCCCCTAGGTTTAGTATTTTTTTTAAGGCCTCTTTGAGAATCGAGTGCAGAAGTCGATATATTGCAATGACGCACACTCTGCAATGAAATTGCCCAGGGACAACTGACATGTTGGTGTACGGTTGAGAGTATTGTGTAGGATCCTGTCGACACAACCGGTCAAAGGAATGTTATACCGTCGGGAATGAGGATGCAAGTGCAACCAGCTCGGTTCCGGTCAAAGTAGTTGCATGCAGTCAAGGCGTCCAGTCAGATCAAAGAATGACGTTCACCCCCGACGCAGAAAATACACAACAGGAGGACTAGCACACCAAAGGCACTGGTACCTTGCATTCGGTCCACGTCGGAGCATCGCCGAGCCAAAAAGGAGGCAATCTTGCATTGCACCCACATTTAAAGGGGCCCTGCAATCATATTTAAGCCTCTACCTTCTTTGCGGTTTCCACGTCTCTTGGGGTTGGGGCAAGCCAGCGGGCACGGAGAGAGTAACTAAATATCAGTGCATCATATTTTAACTCGACGACACATAAACCTCCTCCACCGACGAGGGCGACTTGTGGTACCGAAAACGCGCAAAATGCGACGTCTTTGGTCCTGGGCTTACTACTGGTCAGAGCTGCTAAAAGCTTCTTTTTGGTCGAAATACAAAATATAAGTGGCGCAAACCGTTTCAATTATTTATAAAAGTAGTTTTTGTTCAGTATTTTAGATAAAAAAAAGAAACAAATGCAGTTCATAAAGTACGGGAACAAGAAATGACCCGTCGACATACCCGCCACCAAGCGGGGGAAAAGGCGACGCATATTAGAAAGAAGTAGTGGGATCAGGCACCGACACGGAAAGGTCCCAGATGTACGCGGCGGCGCTGCGGTCGTATGGGAAGGATGATCCGACCGGCTCCGAGCGTTCCGTAGGCCTTCGGCGAGGAGCTTTGTCTTGCGGTTTGGCCGTTTCGCGGTATGGCAGCGCAAAGTGGCTCCCATTCTGAACTGATCTTTACCCAGTGTTAGCTGTCGTTTGTGGCCAATGAAGTGTCACGCCGAATTTGTATTTAATCGTGCAGCAAATGCAAGGAGAGCCGCTCTGGCTGCCCGCTGCAAACAGCATATCCAGAACATGCTTTAATGGCGCCCTCTCGCGCCGTCGACACGGAGTGCGGCAGCCGTGAGCGCTCGATGAGCTCACTACTTCTCCTCCAGTTTACGGCCACTCTCAAGCAACCAAGGACGTCATGAGGGAGGTTATTTTTTGCTTGTTTTTGTAATTTTAATTTGCCTATAACTTTTAAAATAAAAAGAATTTCGAGAAAAGAAAAGTTTCACTAAGTTACTGCATTCAGTGCGCTCAGGCTCGGTGGGAATTAAAAATCAGTAAAAAAGTCATTGCAGGGCCCCTTTAAGGCCCGTTCACACACTTGCGACTTCTTAGAACCCTGCGCATGAAAGCATCTTGAAATCTCTTACGACGGGAAGACGCGCACTGGCGCCATCTTTGCCGTTACCCTGCAACTGCACTTCACTAAAGCGAAGGTTTGGCGGTATTTGCGAGGCCAAATGTATGTATTACTTACAAAAATGTTTTTATAACATTAACAAAAGTTTCTGAAGCCAAAAAAGAAAAAAAAAAAAAAGATGCACGAAAGAAATTGGAAATATACAGCACAGTCCAGTGTTCCACTGCTACCCCGATAGGTGGTGCCAGTGTGTCCTCCCGTCGCGAGATTTTTAAGAGGTTTCAAGGCACTCGGTTTTAAGAAGTCGTAAATGTGTAAACCTGCCCTTAGTGACACTGAGTGGAACAATATACAGCTTCAAAACAGACCTCAAAGGGTGTTTCCATCTGCACTAAAGTTACTTGAAAAATAATGAAGCTCGATTCACTCTAGGTTTTCTTGCCAACCTGGTTTTGGCAGTTGGCATACGCCAAAGCGAAGGCGCCCTTCAGCCCAACCTGCACCAGCACGTGCAGGGGGCCGTCGAACCCTAGACTGCAAGGGCGGCGCATCCAACCCGGAAAACAATGACCACCACGCCAGGGGATGCCAGACGGCAGCAACTTTATTATTCGCCGCCTGCCTAGAATCTGCTCCTCTGGACGCACACACGCACGTCGCTATAAAAAAAGGGACCCGCGCTTTTTCTTACCGGGAGTCATGCAAGGAAGGGGGGGGGAGGGGGCAAAAAGGGAGAGTCACGAGGGGAGTCGCGGCGGCGCAGGGGGGCCGCAGACTGTTGCAGACGGCGCCCTTCCGCTCGCGCCGACGGTGGTGGTGGTCTCGAGGCTGTGGTCCAGAGGCCGTGGTTGCAAAATAAATAGAGGAAGCTATGTACAGGCCTCGCGAGGGGGGCCCCATTGCACGCACACCCACGCACACACACTCACACACACTAGCTAAGGCTGGGTCACTTTGGCACCAGAGGAAGCTTCTTGGCGTCCACCGGGGAAGACAGGTCCAACGGCGCGTCCGCTGCAACGGAATGCCACGGCCCTCTCACAACTCGAATCCTGCCCCAAACAGCACCCTGCCCGTTTCAAGAGACGTAACGTACCGTCTCTAAGTCACGTTGGACTGTCATCGAGGCTACATGCCACAGACACCAAATTCCCGAGGCTTGCCCTTATAAATGCCACGCCTTAGAAACAAACATGAAAGCACCTGTGAATCTAACTGAAGGCACCATTTGCTTAGATCATATTTCACTTGCTTTAACGATTCCAGGTGAAGCCTTTCCGGTAACCTAGGGAAATGATGCGAGACATGATTTAGGTAGTACTTTTCCCGTATACTTTGTATAAGCCTTAAGAATAACAAAAGTCTCGATGCACCAAAGTGTTTGCTGTTGTGTAAACAACATTTTAAAATTCCTATTAAATAGTAATGAGCGAAATAACATTCAACTTCTTAATAGTTGACACACTCAAAATACACATTTTTCCCGTTCTTTTTTAACCTCGCGCATTGATCCTTGAGCGATATCACTCGCAATTTTGTGGAGTATTTTGCGTAATCCTAGCTTTTCACAATTTTGACACGTGCCATATACTGGGAGCAAGCATTTGAAAACGCGTCTTCGGCGCATCAGAACGCAAGGAGGAGCACGCCAATCAATGGCCGACATTGAGCATGCACAAAGAACACGCGACCAGGGGGCAACCAAGCGCATGTCGTCGTTGGTTGAGGTGGTAAGCATGTGGGCGCGTTTGGAGGGTAAGCAAGAGTATGAGGTGTGCAAGGAGCAGACGAACTTGCACGCCGCATAACAAGACACCACATTGTATGATGCACTCGCCCGGCGCATTACCGTAACATCCTGAACTAACGGTCACCTTTACACAGGAAATACCCATTGGGGAAAAAAAAGGCGGGTGGGTGAATCTTCGAGATTCGTCCACCCGCCTTTTTGAAAGAATGTTTTACCATGCCAAAGTGCGTTGCTTGCATCACACGACGAACACCACTGATTGCTATACAGAGTGAACGCTCGTTCTGTGAAAGCACGTTTATAAAACCGCTAAGTTCCCTTCTTTAGGGCCTTCGCTGATCTCTAGAATAAAAAATAGATGAGTAAAAAAAAAAACTCCACAAAGAAATAGAAAAACCAACCACGTGCAACCAGCGAGCAGACGAAATAAGCTACGAAGAGCGATGCTGGCAGAAGCGGGAAAACCGGTAATCGCGTTGGCAGATAGGTACTTTAGCGTTGTGCTAAGTCAAGCACCTTTTCGATGACAAGGAGCAGACTCTTGCACAACTTTTTTGTTTGGTGCATACATCCGTGCGTCCGAAGACTTCTAAAAAGAGAGGTCTGTCCAGGTGCCCCAGTTCTTGGGAATTGCTATTTTTGGAGGGTGGGCCATATATCAGAATTTTCTGACAGATAGTTTGACACAAAAACCGGGGGTGGGCCAAAGTTCGAGGGTGGGCGTATTTCCAGAATATTACAGTATACTCTTTTCCTCCTAGAAATGTTTGTTACCTTATGCATCCTCTAAGAAGACCCAGAAACAATGCGCACTCTTTTGACAAGAAATCCAACATGTTCGTTCCGAGAGACGTCTTCACCGAGACGCATCCCCAAGCATTTAGTCGTTGCAACGTAGTAATCTAATGGCAGGCAGTTCGATTTTTTAGTTGGCAACCAGATTGCGCCGACCGCAAGTGCCAGCGTGCCTCACCTGTGCTGGCTGGTAGGAAGGTGGTCGGGCAACACTGTGCCGCAAACAGCGGCCCCAGGAAAGGCACCGCCCCCCGGGGTGACCTCCAGCCAGACAGCGGCCGGCACCGCTCCGCACAGCCTGCAGCGTTTTGGAACATGGGGGCCACCATTACAAAGTCAGTCGAAGCGTGATGCCCTCCTTATAAAACAGTGCGAAAGCAGTTTATTAAGGCTCCGGTGTGTATGTTTCAAAGACAGGGGGGGGGGGGGGGGGGAGGGGGGGGGGTTAAAGCGAGCTAACTACATATATAGATTATTCCAAAAACCGCCTTTCGCATGCTGATATTTTTGTCTCGTGGGCTTTGTCATGTGTACTGACCATGTGCAGTAGCTCTCTTCCATATATCAGACGCTGCGCATGCGTCCGCAGCTAGGGGACTCAGCATTTTTTGGGTGGGTGATAAGCGCCGAAAGGTACTACAGTTAAACCTCGATGTAACAAAGTCGGTAAAATTCGCAATTTACTTCGTTACATTGAAATTTCGCTAAATCGAAATTTGGCTTAAGCATGCAAAAAAACAAATTCCGAAACATTTTACGGGTATGAAAACTCACCGAAAATGACATTTATTTAGGGGCAAAGTAGTCCGCGAGTTTTGCTTGCGCCTTGTCCGACAGTAGCAGGGTAGCAGCGGCGTCATACGGCGTTCGAGCGCCCAGAGCGCTTGCACGGCGTCTTGCTGCCCATGCGACGCCGTGTACCTCCTCAGTACGTCCGTTCCGTCGAGCACTTTCCGAGTGCTCGTGATCTCGGCAGTTGCTTCAGGATGGCGTCCAAAACGTTTGCTTTCTCATACAAAAAAAGAACTTTACGTTTCCTTATGGCAGCAAGCACGTGAGTGAACCGCCCGGTTGAAAAATAAAGCTGTTTAGTTTAGGCCACGGTGTAGTGTGTAGTTTAGGCGGTGCCAATGTTTCCAACCTACACAGCACTCTTGCCCGCACAGTTTACTTGCCCCCTTGCGCACACAGGGCCCACAGTGTGCTTGCGCCTTTGCTTTACATCACGCTCGCAAGACGATAATCCAGCGATAATCGGTCTTCTCGGTTTTCTCCTGGATGGCACTGCCCGTGCGGTCGCGCCATCACGTCGCTCCCCCGCTGAAGTTGGCTCCCGCGCTACCCGCGGTACAGTGGACTATGATGATCAGTGAATGTCAGTGGTGATGCTGTTATGCCGTGTTAACTTTTTGCTCGGCATTTTCTGTCCAGCCCCGCGGAATCCGCTTTGCCGCATGCCTCGCCGGCGCTACCGGCGCCGCACCCTCGGGCAGCCTAGGAACGTTGGAAGGCCTGTCCCCGTGAAGTAACCTATCAACCGCTCGCGTTTGCGCATAATTTTTTTTTTTTTAACCACAATTTTTTTGCGAAGTTGTTTTTTAGAGTCTATTTATTTATTGCCTTCTATGGCAATGGCGCTTCGTTATATTGAAATAGCAGCAAAATAGACTTCGTTATATAGAGACTAAAAATACATGGGGTCTATGGGCAAAAAATTATGAAAAATAAAATACTTCGTTATATCGAGGATTTCGTTACATTGAAGTTCGTTATATCGAGGTTCGACTGTACATAGTCATTGACAGGATTAGAACGGCAGGGAGGTTTTTAAGTTCCACGTCTGGCGTGTGCTTCCCACCCTCGCTAACGCTACGGGGTCTTACGAGCTCCGAGCTTGCACACACAGTCGAAGCACAAAGGAAAGCATTGAGCGCGTCTTGAAGGCGGGGCATTCAGAAAAGACTCCTGTGCTTCTGGTCCAGGTAGTGATTATGGCGGAAACCGAGACTGTTAGTAATATAGTCAAAGGCAGGGGTGGGGAAAAAAAAAAAGTGACATTAATTGTCGAATAGCACGAGCTCTTGTTTTCTCCATGGCCAGTGGAGAGGATCTGCTACCTGAACATTGGAGTAGAACTTGTTGAGGTTGGCTACTTTTCTATGCAAGGATAAATGGGCTCGAACAAAAGGGCAAGCTTTGGACGGAGAATGGGTCTCTAAACGCGGAGCGTCTGTGTGTGCAACAATAGTATTCCCTAATATCAGACAGCCAATAAAAAGAGACTATTTCGTCCCTGCACTTGACTGAGACTAGCCCGAAACCCCTTTGAAAGCAGGGCCATACTGCTCTATTTTCTGCGGCCGGCGTGGGTCATGGATTGGAGAACTGCTGCGTCAGCGTTCCGCTTGAACTCGTGTCCTCGCTGAATGCTGACACGGTACTTGCATCCAATCTGCAGCCCACGCTGGGTTTCGTTAAGTGCAGGGGCAAACTTGCCAATAGGCCAAGAGGGCAGCTGCTTGGGGTGGCAAAATTTCTGAGACTGACTAGGGTGGCGCCGACCCTTTCCAATTTAACCCCGGACACACAGCATGCAGAACTCTGGATCAACACGTAATGCCCCTTTACGATGTTCGCTATTCGAGCGAGCTTCGTGGTCGTCTTGGCATTTGCTGCAAAGAATGACCGGCTTCGGAAAACCAGGTTTGAACGAACCGGAAACCATGCTTCTGAGTTTATGATCCGGTTCATCGATTACTTAGTTATGCAATTCTGAAATACACCTGTCCAACTTCACTTCTCTTTCTTGCACATGAGTCAAAGTCCCGAAATTAATGTATACCAACTGCAATTTAATTTGAAAACTTTTTGCAGGCTGGAGAATTTTTAGGAACTGCCTAGGGCAGCAAAATGGTACATTTACCTCTGGATTATGGCGTCTTTGCACGACAGATTCCGATCATATCATAGAGCTGCGAGGAGGAAAGACCACGAAGAAGGGGAAGAGGTGCAGAAGATTCAAACGAGAACTCGCACGACTGAGTCACATTTAGTCGAGTCAGCGAAGTCTTTCTTTAAAACACTGTCGCACAAATACGCCGCAAGCGACGGAGAAAATTCGGTGCAACGGCCCTGTCGTCCGGGAGGCGCTGGTTAGCCGCCAGGCGGACAGATGCGGCAACTCACCGGGAGGTGGCAGGGTGCCGGCGCCGGTCACTGGCGCCGCGCTGGCCGGGGGCGGCAGGCACTTGGGGGACGCCTCGCGGAGGGGCGCCGGCAGGGGTGGGCTCTCGTCCCCCGCCTCCTCCTCCTCCGTACTGTTCTGCGTGTTGTTCTCCTCCGGCGTGGATGCGGAGGCGCCGCCGGCAGACGACGACGCCGGCGCCGGGGGTGGCAGTCTCGGGCCACGAGGTGCAGCGCGAGGTGCCCTTCTGCGGGGGGCCGCCTCCGCCGCTGCCGGGGGGAGACGGCTCTTCCTCGTCGCTCGCGTCGTCCGGGGGCGGCTGCCTGGGACGTCCCAGGCGGGGGGTGTCCTGGGCTTCGACCCAGGCGCCGCCTTCCTGGGCGCTCAACTTCAACACCAGGCGGCCGCCTGCGATCGGGGACCCAAGTGTGTCGCGCGCATTCCAACAATAGACTCCCCGCCACGATTTGCATTTTGGGTTCCCCCTATGGGGCGGAGCCTTCGTATGCATTCTCTTCGGGAGCACCGTATATGCTCGAGCAGCCGCAATGTGCCCACTAATAGAACACAACTTTAAAACATAAAAATAACCTTCACCAGCTCGTTTGCACCCTAACGTTTTGTTTGTTAATAAAACACTTACTGACGGGAGAAGAGTAAGGCATGCTTAAGGGGGGACACTACCCAGAAAAAACAATATTTGCAAAAAAGGTTGATTTTGAAAAATGCCATATTTATATCCACCAACATCTAAAGTATTCCCAGAAAGTTTCATTAGTTTACACTACGTCAATAATTTTTTAGAAATTATTTAAGATCCACCAATGCTAAAGGAAAGGTAGAGGTTGGACCACTTTGTACATGTTTTTCTCAATTCCACTTTTTGGCATAAATTTCACTTTAGGAAAACCATAGTTTGTTAATGGGGCATAAGAGAAGACTCACTCACTGTTTTTCCTAACTGAAATTTTATGGGAAATGCAACTGTGGAATTGTTTTTTTAACTTTCGGGACGTCTTTTATAAAAGACGTTTAGATTTTGTCGATGACATAAAAGTTGTCAATGCGAAAGCATGCAAGCCGCTCGTCCGCTCCCTTCATCATCTGCTGCATACTTTTCGTCACCGGTCAGCGCACACGCTCTCCTGGGCACGCTGACCTTGGACGCTCCGTGATAATGGCGCGCTGACGGACATGCAACGCCATGGGGTGAGTGGTCGTTGAAACTGATGAGCGCAGCGGCCAATAGGAGCCTCGTCGACGCGCGCCAGCCAATGGGATTGAAACTGAGATCCATCAGCTTTCCTCCGCTCCTTTGGGATCAGGGGAACTAGGTGCCGTAGTCTAGAGGCTTTTTGTGTGGTTTCATAGCTGGGAGCTGGCTTCACTTGGAGAAAGGATTTAAGGTGCCATTTGCACGCTTCAAACTGATGACGTCGGCTCGCTCCATGGGACAGCTAATACTTTCGCATTAAAATTCATTTCATTTTTCACTGCGGTGTTAGCATAAAATAAACAACTTTTTGGAAATTTTGTTTTCACAGTTGCTCTCTCCAGGCATTCTGCTGCATATCTAGTGAAGGAAAATGTTGGATATTACATTAGTTCTCTAACGACAGTTTTCCTAAACAAAGTCAGTGTGTTCCTGGTAAAAACGACAATAATTTTTTTTACAATTCATGTACACAGATGAAATTTCGCACTGCATTCTCCCTTGCAACTGCCAGTATATACTGTAAATTTCCATCATATTCAGCCAAAGGTTCAAAAGTTGACCTTCCTGGGTACTGTCCCCCATTAAGTGCAGTCCCTAAACAATGGACCGATTTCACTATCCAGTTCGACCACGCCACCGCCGCTGCAATGCATCGAGGGAACATTAGCTTTATTTTTCTTTTCATGCATGACGACTTCGCTGTAGCTCTGTGCAAATCCCGAGATGGCACGAGTCATCTCGTGCACTGCCGCTTGCCTCCCAGAAATTAAAACTGCGGCAGCGTCGCACATGCACCGAAAACTCGGCGAGATCAGTCCATTGTTGTCAAATTAATGACGGATGAAAGAAAACCAGACCTCAGTCGCTTACTCCAGAACTTACGGTAAACATCACCCGTACGCTCAATAAAAATGCATTCATTAGTCTTCGAGTCTTGCACAAGCTGGTTACAAAAAAAAAAAAAAAGAAAAACCCGACCCAAGCGACAGCGATCTTGCAGACGCAGCGAGCAGAGAATGCCGTCGTGTCTTGATGCACTTGGAAGCACAAGCAAAACCTCCAATCTTGTGAACAGCCCCAACCAATGCAGCATGCTCTTTTCAGGAGAGGGAACAAAGGACAAAACAAACGACATGACCACCGACGACCACTCCGACCATTACGGCACTCGCAGTCGGCCGGCTCTACAGTCGATGACAGGTCAAGAATCCAGTTCTCCCTAGTTGCCTTCTGCCAGGCTCTGGCTGCGCGAGCGACAAGGCGTTATCGAGTTCGGGGAGCTCGTGCCAGAGGCAGAGCATCTGCTGAATTCTTAACGTGTCACCGACTACGGTTACAGAGTGCCAAACTCACCGAGGAAGAACTTGAGGCTGCCCACGGGCGCGACAGACGCCGGACCTTCTTCGGCAGCCTTCACCGGCTTGGCTCGCATCGGCTTCACCTCGGGGCCGGAGACGCCGGGCGCTTCCTCCGCCGTCCCCTCGGGAGGAGGCTCGTCCCCCTTCTGCTTCTCCTCCTCTCTCTCCTCCTCCTCGTCTTCCTCCACGGGCTCCTCCTTCACCTCCTTCTGAAGGGTCGGCAAGAGAGAAAGAGCGTGGAAAACGTGCGTCGTACAGCGCTAGGAGTGTTGTGTTTTATAGGCCTTACAGATTGGTATTAAGAAAGCTGTCAAAGCCAGGGTGTCGAACCGGAACCGAACCGAACCGAAAACCGGAACAGAACCGTTATTTTTAGCCGAACCGGAACTGAACCGAACCGAAATCTTCGCCGCCATCTTGGAACTGAACCGGAACGGAACCGGAAAAAATATAACGGTAACCGGTTCAAAACGGTTCACGGTAATTTTTTTTTTGTTAGTATTACAAATTTATTATTTGAGAATAAAAAATTGGCACGTGAATTCCTCTAAGTATTGATCAAATCGTCATATACAGAATTCCAATGTATAATAAATCCTGGTTTTTTGCGGCGCTTTCTTATTGGCACTATGAATAGCCATGTATCACATCGTCACGTGACGTCATAATCTCAAGACATGCTGTGAAGTAATGTCACATCACGTGACCCCGTGACGTCACGTGACTCACCGCGTAAAGTCGATTCAAATGGAGGACGTCGCTAGATCTATTAACGTTGTTGATACCGTGACGTCACATGACATCACAACTTCGCACTGAGAGTCCCGTGACACCATGATGTACCCGATTGTCATGATCCCGAGTCAAATGCTCTGGTTCATGACAACCAGTATCGCCAAACATTCGGGTAACGGCTCGTGTTCAACTCAAAGATTATGATGGGCCCGAGTCCCACTAGAGCTAGAAGCAGAAGCAAACGAAAGCGACAAGCCTCAGACACATGCAGCATGTTAGCGATGGTACCTTTATACGGCTTTAAGTTGTTCGGTGCTCGCGAAGTTAGCAGGAGCGTTTACAAGGCTGCAAATGGTACCATCGTGTGCATGATACTCGTGTTTGAGCATAGCCTTCTTTATTCTACAAAGCCTGTCAAATCGCGAAATACTCTGGTTTAAGGCTAGCCGTTGTCGTTTGTTTCTGTTTGTCGCTTTAGTGGGGCTCGGGCCCCATTATAGCCCAACTAAAACTATATCTGAAGATTAGCCCATGCTTCGCTTTGCCAACCCTGCTTATGACTATGATAAACACTGACGGTGCATATATTAGGATCAGATCACGTGGCTGATAGTTCTAATTGCGAGTTGAGGAGGGGAAAGCTGTTTCATTTCTTTCTTTCGACTGTCTTTCATTTCTCGGAGGAACAAACTAATGGATGCTTTTGCAAGTTATCAGCGTCAGGGATTACAACTTGGCGGTATTTATTGAACTAAAGGTAAATAATATGCTGCACGGCCCATTTTACATGTATGCACACCATTGAGGCTCCCAAACATGTTTTCGTAATTGCTGAACTGCCTCAGAAAGTTGTACCGAGAATAGAAGTGTTAAAGGGTCTAAATGTGACGTATTAGTCCGACGTTACATGGAACTATTAGTGTGTACGTGAGGGATAGCTGAAAAGAAAGATCCTAGTGGTCTCACGGGGATAGCCAAACGTTGGCAGCCGCTCTAAGTCTCACAGGAGTGTCGTTCTCAAGTTCTCCAAGTTTCGACCGCCCTGTATTTTGTTTAACCTTCACAGTTTGGTGCAAAGTAAAAGCAAGGAAGTATTACTGTTAACGAGTGACACAGATATGATTGTCGAGTGAACACCACTCAATACGGAGCAGGCAACCCCTGAGGAATAAAAAGTATCTTGAGGAGCAACTAAAAAAAAGGGAGTGGGGAGGGGGGTAGTTTTAAAGCATACTGTGTTGTAAAGATTCCTCTACCGCGCACTTTCGGCGCAGACTAGAAAGCGTGGCCTGGAAACGATAGTGACAGATGGGTATAGTTGGTACAACTTTTATTTGTAAAAACACTCTTGCCAGAAAGAACGTTTTCGTCGCGCCAGATACTCGCGCCGTGTCTAACGACGATGCACCAACAAGAAAAATGTGTGCCTCTCAAATACATAGCTTGCACTGAGCGCGAAAATTTTGCAGCGTGCATTTTGCCCCATCGGATTTGATATTCTCAGCAAGAACAACTCGCAATGACAACCAGTATCTAGTGCGATTACGTCACGTGCAAACCATGTTAAATACTTCAGCTTTCTGGTGAAGTGCGACGTTCGCAACACTAGCAGTAGACGTCCAATGTGTAAAGTTGTGTAGTATTTATAGCAGTCTCGCGATGATATACGGCAGCCTAATGAAATGTTGCAGCACATGACTGATAAAGAACAGAGTCGTGAAGTAAGGTCCCAAAACAAGTGTACGTAAAACCTACGATAACATTAGTAGTATCTCGCGACGTTTCGAGCTGAGGCAAGCTGATGCCCAAAAGTGACTTATATTAGGATTCTAAAAATCTTCATTTGCCCTGCGAGGAATCTATGTTTAATTAGGAATATCATTTTATGCATTTCTTTGCATCTTTTTTTGCAGTAAAGCGTTGTGTAAGGGATTATTTAGAAAAAATTGCGTGTCATCTCCTTATTTCTGCACATTTCGTGTATTTGCCTTGCGATATATCATGTGACCACAGTGTTTTTTGGCATACCCTGCAACCCAGTATTTTACACTGCAAAACAGCTAACAAAAGCACGGTGCCGAAGACTCAATAGCTGGCGTATTTTCGAGTATCGTCCTTCCGTGTCGGTCTCAGGCGGTTATGTGAACTTCATAAAGTCAAATTTATCGATGATAATACAAATATAGTTAATTCCTGTGTGAAGATTTGGCAGCGTAAATAGAAGATCCTCACCTCAAAGATATATAAGTAAATGCACTTTTAAATTATCTGAAAGATGTTCCGCAAATCTTTTTCGGCGCTTTTATCCTCTATAAACACGTTAGAGGTGATTTGGAAAAGCTTTAAATAATGTTGTTTTTTTATTTTGAAGCTAATTTAAATAACTATATGTGTTCCTCACGCATATATAACTTCTCAAATATATAGAAGTTTATTATTTCGTTTTTTATGTGTTTTTATTATCGCCTTTTTTTACTGGAACAAATGATAGAACTATGACGATTGCACACTTAAACTCTCAAAAAGTGTCCAATTAAGTAGCTTCCGAATTGAGTAGAGCATGAAATCCCACTTTGTTCTATTTGACAAAAATCATCAATTAGAGAGGGTGATGCTTATTTGCAAATTAAATTGACCGGCATTTTGTCAAGAGCAAACCTCAGAACCAGGCTATGCCAGTTTATCCAATAAAGAAAATGTTCGCATGGGTAGGCACTGTTTTAGGTCAGATTCGATCTCAGTACGAAGGTGCTCATAGGTTAGAGTGAACAATTTCAGCCACTCCTTTTCGCATGATTCGTCACCCGCATCATGGTGCTGAGAGCAAACAATGCTAGTTAGAAAAAACAAGCATTGCGATTGTCGCTTAGTGTTTTTATAAAATATAGAGTGGAAGGACTTGTCCCGTGACTTTCGTGACATTTTTAAAATTATATTGCCTTAAGATCAGTCGTCTCGTCGTCATATATATATTGTGAAACGTATTCCGTAAAACACATTTTATGGTATATATGGCGACGAGGTGCCCATTTCATGATTTTATTCACTGTAATTAACTTCTTAGTTCAAGGGCAAAACCACGATTCAACATCTAATACTGCGATACAAAGTTGTACCTGTCACGGGTATTTTAGGCAACCTACTTCACTTCGCGAAAACATTTCGATTTAGGTTCAATGTATGTGACTCTGGTAAACGAAGGGAGGTTGAGTCGTATAAACACGACGTTTGTTATGTTAATGGAGATTTTCCTTTCTTGTTGTGTAGGTATAAATAACAGAATTTTATAATTTTTGTACCTGAAAATAAAACTGGATTGAACAAACGTTAAAAAAAAGAAAACTATATACTGTAAACGACTTATTTTTCGTTGGCTCAATATTTCGCGACTTAGGTCAAAGCTGAAGTTTTGGAATAATTCGTGGGTTGTAATTTTCTCGACGCGGTGGAATCTCACTATAAATTTCAATATGTTTACATTTTACCAAAATTGTTCGCGGGACCCATTTTTCGCGAATTGTAGGCGATTCGCGAAATTCTCAAAAATAGGTCCTCGCAAAAATCAGATTGTTTACAGCAGTTAGTTTCATGGCCTAAATAGTGCCTATTGACAGAACAACGCGGAAAATATATTCTCAATTTAGCGGTTCAAACCGGTTCGAACCGGTTTGAACCGTTATTTTTGCGCCCCGGAACTGAACCGAAAGCCGTGAACCCGAACCCGAACCGAACCGATAAAAATATCGGTTCGACACTCTGGTCAAAGCCACACTAATGCAGTCTGTGCAGGTGAGCAACTGACACGAGGCTAGCAATGAGAAAATGCAGACGATGAGAGACGAAAAAACTACAACGGCGCGTTACCGCACCGGCAGCCTTGCTCCTGCTGCACGGGTGGCAACTTTAGCGGTCCCCCGTGCTCCAAGTCCTGCCAAAAATTGACTGAGCTAGTGGTTTTCAATGACGCTCAGCAAGTTTCTATTTGGAACCACAAGTTCATCTTCACAAATTAAAAAGTTAGTCGACATATTTTGGTTAATTAGCTGACTTATCACGACAATTGGCCCCCTATATTACGTTTCCCTTGCCCTATAACTCACCCGCACAAACCACATGAGTGTAACTTTTGCAGCTTTTTTTACAACAAATTCTTAAAGCTTAAAACAAAATCCTGTATGATGCTACACCGTCACATTCTCAATAGACCTTTGGAACAAAAAAGAAGGTTTAGAGAAAGCTTGCACTGTGAAGTTTGAACCAACTGGAATCCACAACAGAGATGCAGCAACTTTCGCTCGTGTCGCAACCAAAATCCCACGAGCCGTCCTACAAACACTGGAATGCCTCGGTGTTTCAAAGGCTAAAATCCATGGAGCGAAAAAGGCGCCGAATTTTGGCTGGCGGCGTGCGATCTGCGCATGGCTTCGGAACAGCGGCTGTTCGTATTCATATTCTTAATTTTAGCTCCTTATGAAAGCCGGGCATCCATAGAAGGCAAACGGCACGTACCAGAAGGTTTGCGACAACTTGGTCTAAAGGTTAAGGGGGGACACTACCCAGAAAAAACAATGACTGCAAAATATGTTGATTTTGAAAAATGCCATATTTACACTTACCAACATCTAGAGAGTATTCCCAGAAAGCTTCATCAGTTTACACTGGATAGTTAATGTTCTATGAATTATTTTCGGTCCACCGACGCTAAAGGAAAGGTTGAAGTTGGAGCACTATAAACACATTTTCCCTCGTTCCGCTTTTTGGCACAAATTTCACCTTAAAAAAGTCTATTGTTTGTGTAAAAAAGCCCCGAAGTTTGTTTAAAGAACCTTCTTCCCTCAGCTACCCAATGGCCCTTGTTGTCCCCCCCCCCGGCCAAACCACAAGGGACACGGGATGCAGGCGGCGGTGGTGGCTCACCTTGATACAGTTTTTGATGCAGTTGCTGATGCAGTTGCTGGTGCAGTTTGCGGTGCACTTGCTGGTGGAGCAGTTGCTGGTGCAGCTGGCGCCGGTGCTCGTGGAGCAACCCGCCTCCTGCTCCTGCCCGTCGCTCTCCTGCTTGGGCATGCGCCCCTGGTAGTAGAACTCGATCAGGCTCTTGACGGGCTTCCAGGGGAGCTGGGGACAGAATGGCACCACTTTCAGACGACCCCGCCGCTACGCCGGTCTCCTCGATAGATTCTTTTATGAGGTGCGTGCCATCTTGTAAATGCTGTGCTCATTGTACGAAACAACAATGTTTGGGCAGGCATTCCGAAGTGTTAGAGATGAGGGCTGCATAGGCATTCGGCGAGGGCTTGGATCCTATCCCATGCTTGGTGATCGCCCAAGGAATGGCGATCGCCAAGGGTGCTTGATCCGGTTTTGAAAAAGATCTACTTCTACAAAGATGGTGCAGCCCACAAGCCACGGGACTAGTCAAACGGATTGAAGGACCTTGCCGTCACGTCGGACGCTTTAATTCTATCGAAGATATGTGCAGCCTGCATGCAACGAGATTAAAGCTAAATGGACTGCAGTATCTGATAAAAGTTAAGCAAGCTTGCACCTTGGAACACCAAAGCATCATTTTTTGGCACCTGGAGAGAAATTGGTCTTCACGCACCTTCAACAAAGCACCTTCACGAGTACAGGAAAATCTCGTTATAACAAAATGGGATATAACAAACTAATGGCTATAACAAAGCAATCATAATTACCCTTGCTTGCTAATAGTGGGAAGTAACAGACATTGGCTATAACAAACTAATGGTTATAACGAAATAATTACGACCACTCCTTCAACTTTGTTATAACGAGGTTTTACTGTATAACACTGGGCAGTGTGCAATGCCGGGCATTACACCTTTCTGAGTGTTGCACATTGGGCAATGCACCTTTGGGAGTGAAAACAGTGGCCAGTGTGCAATGGCGAGTAGTGTGCGACGCTGTACAATGCACCTTTAGAAGTGAAAACGCCAGAGGCCAGATTCACGAAACAATCTTATGCAAAAAATGAGTTTTTGAGAAAACATAAGAACAAATTCATATTTAAGAAAGGAAATTATCGTAAGTTTTGTTCAGGTTATGACAGAATCCTACAACAGCTCCGGAGCTGTCTTACACACTTTTTACGATCAAATCAACATGGCCGACAGCGTCGCTCAGTTACTTGGTTGCGACGACCAACGGACATTTATTTTTCTATGTGCTCTCCTTGTGCGTCCCGGCTTCAAGTAGCAAGAAAAAAGAAAGAAGTACTTGAAACCGACCACGACAAATATGAACGCTGGATCCACAAACACCCGGGAAAAGCTACAACGGCAACGACCCCACCGGCCAAGCGAACTCGGCAGAATATATGCCTAGCAGGTACTCTGACCTGCTTCGGCGCAGCATTGCTCCGACAGTCCTTGGCCAAGACTGTCTGCCCACGACCAGCTGGCTCGCTGAATGGAATATGCCCGCGCGACCCTTCCCTTCTGATCGCTGACCCCAATTTTAGATTAAGAGGTCAATCTCCTCGCCTTGTCATCTTGTTTTCCGAGGCAATGGTGACGACGCTGTCGTCAAAAAGGGACTCCCATCGATTCTATCACCTTGTTTTGTGTGATATTGCCGCGCGCAAGGCTGAGAAAGCAACGCTCGGTCACGGTCCTCCAGAAAGTTCCCGTTTATTCATGTACCGCACGTAACTTCTATCATTTATCCCTGCTTTTGTTTTCTAGAAAGTGCGCGTTCATTCTCGCCCCGATCACGCGACGCTCGAACCGCTTTCGCCGAATCTTCGAGATAGCGGCGCACTCTAGATAAGAGGCCACCCGCGACCTTGTCGAGTCAGTCTCGCCCCAGCGCTCGATTCTGCTGACACGCCGACTTCGACGCCCGCGACGCTCTGCTTTCTTCTGTTTCCTTCTTTATTTTTGGCACAAGTTCGCTACATTAAACGTTTATTTATTTCTGTTTATTTCTTGTTTATTGGTCACGACTCACCACCCGTGACAATATACACCAACTCATGTTTACAAACAAACCGGAGCGCCCCTAGCGGACGCCACCGGCGCTGCGCATGCGCGGTGGATGGTGGGCAAAAAGCCCGCCGTCGGCCATAAACAAACCATTGAATTGCGTTGTTGTCGGCGTCGGTGGGAGTCCCCGTGCTCTTTTTCGCGTTGGAATTGTTGATTCTACGTCCTCCTAACAATGTCTGACTACTTGAGCGGCTTCAGCAAAACTATCGAGGCAAAACTTTGCGTGAATAATGTGACGTGCGGCGATTCATTTCACGTGGACGCCGCAGAATGGGCGCTAAAGCCCGACTCCCACGATGAGATTCTGCTCGCAATTTTCCGTCGCGACGTCGCTCAGACTGCAAAAGCGTGGACCGTAGCTGAGATGGTGGACATCGATACTGAAAACCACAAGTAGAATCGGGCATTACAAGTCGGTGATGGCCACTGGTAACAATGATCGACAACTTCTTGTATCTGTTTACACTTAGCCGACTTACCCCAACCAACCTTCAAAAGTGTTTTGAGGCCTGCATTTAGTTCTTATCGCAATTACCGGGTCAACTTTTGGTTTATGGGCCGCTGTCGTTTGAACGAGCTGACGACAAAAAGCAGCCAAGTTTGAAAGAGCAGACGACAGTTCGAACGCATGCGCAATGGGGTACGGGCAAGAAGCACCGCGTCCCGCGTCAACAAACCATTCGAACGTCACGTTGTCGGCATTTGTGTGAGGCTGCATACTCTTTTTTGTGTTGGAGTTGTCGATTCTACGTCCTCATCGCGATGTCTTACCACTTTAATCGCCTGAGCGAAATTATCAAGGCTCGTTACGCCGCTAAACTTTCCGTAAATAATTGACGTGCGGCGATTCATTCGCATGAACGCTGCAGAATGGACGCCAAAACCATGATGAGATTCTTGTAGCTATTTTCGGTCGCGACGTCGCTCGTGCTGCAAAAGTGTAGAACGTAGCGGCGATGATCGTCGTCGATACTGACAATTGGAAGCGGGAACAGACCAAGTGTAACAAGTCGGTGATGGCCACCGGTACCAATAATTAACATCTTGTATCTACTGTTTACACCGAGCCTACGTAAGTCTTTTGAGGCCTGCAATTACTTCTTATTGCAATCACCGGGTCCAAGTTTGGTCTACGGGCCGGTTTTGTTTGAACGAGCAGACGACAAAAAGCAGACGAAAGTTGGGACGATCAGGCGGCCGTGTGAATTTGAAGACGCACTGAACCCGTGAGTGGTCCGGACAACTTGGGGGCTTTCTCTCGTTCATGTTGGAACAAAGCAAATACATCTGGCGACCACAAAGTGTAGCCCGCACACGCAATCGTAGTTCGACAGCGTCTGGTTTGCCCTTTTCACGGCTACTATCCACGTTCTCGGACGAACGGAAGGGGCGAAAAGACATGAAAACTGATCTTCAAACCTTTCCAGACTCTCTTGGTAAAGCCCCCGTCGCAGCATTTTGACAAGAAGGCAGGTTTTTTGTCTCGTTTCTTCCAAAGGAACACAGGAATGCATGTCTGGCACGGCTACTTCTGCCCACCGTCCCCGACCGGAAGTGCGTCCGGCGCGCCACCACCGCGGCGTGACGTAGGAGAGTTGAGTTTGTGTATAAAGCACAAATAAATGCCGTATGGATGACCTTCACAGCGCGGTATGTACACTTTGTTATTGTATCCCAATTTTATTCTGACATGACAGTACGTTACTGTCGAGCTATAACAGTTTGTGGGAGCTACACAATGCCGGTCCAACCTTTCTTTGCCGAGTGTCACGTCAGCAAAGAGTTGCAATCGTAAAAGCTCGAACCCGAAGCGATTACCAAGACACGGTCCAACGGCGCGAATCCAGCACTTCGATCAAATGCGTGCGTCCGCTCCCAGTGTGAACAGGTATATTTGCGTGGCTCTTGCTGAGACTCTCGTAGTTCAAACGTACCTTTTTTAACGTCGGCTTGCTCCCGCATTTCCGAGGCCGCGAAAAATGCCGCAGCGATTGGCTTCTACCTACGTCGCTTTACAAACGACTGGCACGGGCCGTATTTTACCAATGATGACAGTTGTGTTGACTTTGCAGCGATCGAGTTTGCAGCAGTCAACAAAGGCGGTTATCCCGGCTTCGGCATTTGGTCGCGTTTAAACCGTGTGTTAGCGTCGACATATCACTGCACAGACACAAACCCCAGACAAGCGGTGGCGGAAAGGCCGCCTGCTTTCGTTATAAAAAATCCACATGCTCCGAACCATGCCGAGCTGTCCGATTAGTTGTTCGTGTTTGTGTAGACGCCATTGCCATAACAACAACACTGAAAGTTCGTTTTTTTTTTTTTTGTAAGAGAATGTTGCTTTTCTCTTCTCGCTTAAGAATGCGTTCGTGAATACCGATTTCTCCTCTTTGTGAATCTGGCCTCTGACAATGTGCAATGCTGGGCAATGCATCTCTAGGAGTGAAAACCCTGGACAATGTGCAACACTGAGTGGACACCGGACCTTCGGGAGTGAAGACAATGCCGTGCAATGCACCACTCGTAGTGAAAAAAGTGCGCAATGTGCAACGTAAAATGCTAAGAGGACAAGTAAAATACAAGGCAATGCACTTTTCAGAGTGAAAACACAGCAGAACGTGCAACCACTCACAAAGTCCTTCTTGATGGCGCCGAAGTTCTTGCCGCACTCGTCCAGTGCCCGGGCGAACAGGCTGGCCTCCGTGGGGGTCCAGTGGCAGGGCAGGGTGGGCCCCACCTGGCAGCCCGCGTCGTGGTGGCAGCCGTGGTGGGACGTCACAAAGTCCGACAGGCCCCGCAGCGCCGTCTGGAGGCAGCAGCCTTCGGGGCCCCCTTCTCCCCACGCCTGCCACTTGTCCATGGCACGCGCAAAGAGGCTGACAGCCCTGCAAGCCGGCCAACACAACGCCTCGCTTCACTTGGTGATACACATCACTAGGCAGCGAGGATAAAGACAGAGCTTGGCACATGCACCGAACATCCACCGCAGGGGAGAGTCACTCTACAATCTACCGACGTCATGAGCAGTGGCGGACTTCCTTTTTATACTCGTAAATAAATGTGTGCCTCTAAGAGGGTATTAACGCTCACCAAGGTTTTTATTTGAACGTGACCTAAAAGAGCCTCACTATCCGAAGCACAATTTGCGGCTCGATATTCATGTTCTTTCTTTCTGCCCGAAAACAGCCGGTCAAGAATTGGCCAATTTCAGTCGCGCTAACTCTTGTTTCCATGGTCACATGGCGTTCAAACTATGTGTACCAAATATATTCAGAGTCGTGGGTTATCTAAGACAGACATTCAGTATTAAAACTAAAAAAGAATATGAACCCCATTTTTCATGGCCTCTGAAAAGCTAAAAATACATGAATGGAAAAAAAAAAAGTTGCACAGATTGCAGGAAATACAGTTACACATCATTTTCACTACGGCGACGTACCAAGGGCTGGACAAAGTTCAACGGTGCAACAGAAGTGGGGCTGCTACTTCAAAACTGTCGTTTGTGGTACCTGCCAATCGATCATCAAGCCGAGAACATTGAAGTATAAGTGCGAAACAACTGCACAACAAACGATTCATGCCTGTTCGTCGTCGTCTGCCTCAGGGGCCAGAGAAGCGGAGGTAAAAAAAATGCGACCAGGTGTAGCCACGTGACTTCCAGCAGTGAGCTTCATGCTCGTGTTTCGGTTTCAAACAGTTGAGTTTTTTGGCTTTATTAAAAATGTATGTGACTTTGCAGCAAAACATTGATTGGGCAGTCTCCTGACACTATATTAAATCGTAAAGGGGCCATGCAACAATGTTTGGGCTTCGGTTAAATAATTATGGTAGTTGTTCCCTGTCAGATATTGATTAAAGAACTGAAAACCAAATTCACCTGCATGCTTTAGTTCTTTTTTTAAAAGAAATTGTAAAAAAATCGACGTTCTGGGGGCCTCTACGCTGCTCTCAACTCCTACACCATCCTCCGAGTCACGTGTACAGCGACAAGTTCCCGAGTGCTCTGGGCACACTGAGAATCCCGTTGGATTCTTTTTCAGAGCCTCCAGCGTTGGTCTCCAAGGCTGGTCTGAGCCGCATCGCAACCGCACGTAAGTGATTTAGGGAGCTACGAGACGAGTGACGGCAACTTCTCAATGTCACTTGTCGCGTCGCTCGGCTTTTGGATTTCTAGAAAATGTTGATCATAGTCTTGACCGCTTTCATGCGGTTTGCCTCGTAGTGCGTCAGACAGAGTGACAGCAAAGCGGGTCACTGTCACTTGTCTCATCGCTCGCCAAATCACTTGCATGTGGTTTGCACTTAACTGTATTATCGGAATCGTCGGCCCTAACCCTTTCTGATATACCATTTAGTATCGCGAAATTCAGAGTAGTTATTGCGAAATCGTCAAGTGAAAATGATGCCAAAACCAACCTTCAAATATACCCGCGCTTTTCAGTGGCTTGCAGGTCGAGGGGGCAGTCTAAAAATGGACTAAAATGGGCTATGCGCATGCTTTTGCACGGGTGCTGAAGCGAGATTCCAAAGCATTCATTTGAAACAATGAAACTGCTTAAAATCAGTTGCGAACAAAGTCCTCAGTCCAAAGAGTGAACCCCTGCCTTCTGCTAATGTCAATTCTCCATCGTTGCCAGTAGAGACTTTCAATTGGAAAAACACGGCACGGACCGAAATTGTAAATTCCATAACTGTGCGAAAAAAAAAAAAAAATGTATACTGGCCCAACATTTAGGATACTATTTCAGTGACTTTTGTTAGTGTGATTTAGCAAATTTTCAGGAAAATTGGGGACTATAAAGAAAACGCCACAGCACTCCTTTAAAGGGGCCCTGCAATTATATTTAAGTGTCTACCTTTTTTTGTGGTTTCCACATCTCTTGGGGTGCGGGCAAGCCAGCAGGCACGGAGGGAGTAAATATCAGTGCGTCATATTTTAACCGGATGACAAGGAAACCTCCTCCACCAATGGGGGTGACCCGGTGCCGAAAGCGCACGATATGTGACCACATTGTGACGTTTTTGGTCCTGGCGTTACTACTGGTCAAAGCCACTAAAAGCTTTCTTTTAGTCAAAATACAAAATATAAATGGTGCGAACCGTTTCAATTATGTGTGAAAGTAGTTTTAGTTCAGTATTTTAGATCAGAAAAGAAACAAATGCAGTTTATAAAGTACGGAAAGAAGAAATAACCCGTCGACATACCCGCCACCAAGCAGTGGAAAAGGCGGTGCATACTAGAAAGGGGTAGTGGGATCAGGCGCTGACGCGGAAAGGTCCCGGATGTATATGGCGGCACTGCGGTCGTAGGGGCTCGGGGGATCCGGCCGGTTCCGAGCATCCCCAAGGCCTTCGGCGAGCAGGTTTGGCTTGCAGTTTGGCCGTTTGGCGGTTTGGCAGCACGAAGTGGCTCCCATTCTGAACTGATCTTTACCCCGTGTTTGCCGTCATTTGTGGCCAATGAAGTGTCATGCCGAATTAGTGTTTAGTTGCGCAGCAAATGGAATGCGAGCCGCCCTGGCCGCCGCTTCATCTAGCCTATCCTGCACGTGCTTTAGTGGCGCCCTCTTGAGCCGTCGACACTGAGTGCGGCAGCCGTGAGCGCTCGCTGAGCTCACTACCCCTTCTCTAGTTGACGGCCACCCAAGCCAGGACCAAGGACCTCACGGAGGTTATTTTTTGCTCGTTTTTGTCATTTTAATTTGCCTATAACTTTTAAAATAAAGCGAAATTCGAGAAAAGTTTCACTAAGTTACTACGTTCAGTGCGCTCAGGTTCGGTGCAAATTAAAATCCAGTCAAAAAGTTGTTGCAGGGCCCCTTTGAGTAAAGAATGTACTAGTGGGCATCTATGGACACGGGCTTGCAAGAAGTCCCTTCCGAGTACTTCTGGTCAAACGAGTTTTCGGCAGAAGAGACACCCAGGAAGCCTCACGGCAGCCTCGGGTCAATGGACCACCGCGACACACGGCTAGAGTCACTTATGCTATGGTCTGGGCTTTCTGAGCCAATCTAGACCTGATGAGAGATGCAGCAAGGCTTGTAGTAGTAACACTGTACATCCCGTCACAAATGCACATCCAACACCAAAGGGTTCAGCGCAAAGATAATACAATGGGAGGGAACCATTCGCAATCCCAAAGGAAGCACCGCCACCCAACCCAACAAAACAAATGTGAAATGGCGAAAAAACGGGAATCCACCGCCTATCCGAGAGCGCAGCAAAATTGCTGCGGACTGGCAGCCGAATCGTGAAAGAGAAAAAGGAAAGCAAATGCACAAAGTGGGAGTTACGAATGCCAGCTTTCCCTTGCTTCTGATGAAACAAATAAAAATGCTCGTTTGCATACGTGGCAGCGACAAACATGGGATTGCACTAAACGAAACACCCAGGGGGTCAAGTCGCACAATGAAGCAAGCCTCTTTGAGACCCAGCCCTGCTCTATTTAACCGAGCTTTAGCGGTGGAAGGACCTTACTTGGCCATAGAGAGGTACTCGTCGATGCTCTGGTCTGACAAGCTCTCTGGCCGCCAACGTAGCGTCTCGAGGTCTTCCAAGCGGCGTCCATCGCTTTCTCCTGCACACCACACAAATCACCGTGACAGAGCATGACACCAAAACCCCCCCCGACACCGTGCACTTTAGGCCAATATTCCTGCATCTCTATAACTGATTTGATCACAAAATAGGTGGGACGGTTCTGAAGATGCATTTATCATATTCAGGCTTATTGATGAAACCATAAACATTTGGTTCAAGATAATGCCAGTAAGTATCGAGCAGAGTTCATAGATAGTGCCCAAATCGTCTGTTTACATTGAGCGCTCACTCATAGCTGGATGGATGGATGCTAATGGCTTTTTTTATAATGGGCAGCAGCTTGTGCCCCCTGGCCTAGAAAGCAAAAGTAGGATTCCAACCCTCACCTTCTAAGGCAATTTATTTCCCCTCTGCATTTTTGTTTTTTACTGTTATTAGGTGGTATGGAATATTGCCAGGATGACCTTCGGGGAATCAGGCAAAAATACCCTAAAAACATCACTCCCAGCCTTCTCTCCCCGTCGAGGGAGCGGCACTAGTACTACATCATGTAGCTAAAACCTAATTAGCTTATTAATTCATTTACCTCATAGATCTATAAATAAAATGTTTGGTCCCTAAGTGTAACAATGTGCAGATGGACGCATTTATTTTGCCTTGCTACGTTGTAACTCTCCTCATAGAGCGTCCGAAGGGCCTGCAGTGTTGTTAAATTAATTGCAAAATAAAATGGAAACGGTAGTTAAAACATTTCAAAACTAAAAATAACAAGTAGAGGCAAGGCCAACTAGACATGAGCCCAACACAACATATTGTGTCCCACTGGAACAACCGCAAGACAACACAGAAAGCGACTGACAAGAGAGAAAGAGGCGTCGTGAGGGGAGACTTTCGCTTTGCAAACTACTCTCCAGGACCAAATGCAATAAGCGCTCTGGCAAGCCAGGCACCACCGCATCTGGACAAAAAGTTAATTCTATGCAGGAATAAGAGCCCAAAATGCACACCAAAGAAGGCGACGGCGGGTTGCGTCTGCATGCTTACCGGGTCGCAGCAGCGCGGGCACAGTGGCCTGATACTGGCGACCTACTCGGATGCGGTTCCGATTGTTGTTGCGGGACTCATTTTCCCAGTAGGAGTCGAAGTCCGCATCTGCAAGCGGCAACAGTGGGCGCATGAGACGCCGAAGGTGAGCAGGGCTCGGCAAGGGCCGCCCGGGACGCCGTGTCATTACCCAAGGGAACTTCGCACGGCGGACGTCTGGCCAGAAGTCGATTCGAGTTTGGCATAGCAAATCCTTTGTGCGTGTGACACTGAAAAGAACCCACTACATGCTTTTGGCCTGCTCTCCTGTTGCACACAAGATGGTCATGCACGCACAATCCTCGGTAGTTACTGTTACGGTCGTGAGACCGTGGCTACGTAGTTCTGGTGTTCGTGTCTTTTGATCGGTGCTGTTGGTTCAGCCACGAATGGTCAACGTGGTTGCGCGACCAAATATCAGGTTCTAAAATTTGCCACAGGTTTCAAGACTGGAACAGGCACCACGGAATAGGTGAAACTTGAGTTTGCATTTCTGGCCAGAACTCGGCAGAATTGGCCCCAGCTTTAGAAACACTATCCGGCCTTGTCACTAACTGCTATGTATTCAAAGAGCTACACATTACCTAGTCCAGCATTTTACTAACGCTCACAAACGGTAAGTAAAATATGGGCACTCTTTTGTCTGTTGAAAACTGTGGTACGAGTACATGCAAGTTTAACAGGCAACAATATTGTGCAAGAAGCCTGCTGCAAAATAACTAACATATAACAGCGGAGCAGGCTCCTTTTATATGCTCAAACTAAGCTAAGCATATGCAAGTGCGTGGCAACTTTCATGTTTGCAATGGCAAATGGAGTGACACCATCTTACTGTGTAAACACAGGTGGAAAGCTTTTGCAGACACCTGCTTATGCTCAAGGCTGTCCTTAGCATTCTGAAGGGGTTATTAGGCTTATTACGCAGTAAAACTTTTTACAAGACCTAATGAAAATAAATACTCTCCGGACGCTTCAATGATGAGCCAGCATTAATCTGTCAGAATGTTTGTCCTAACCAGACAGATCTATGTATGATTGGGTTAACTACAGTAGCTATTTGGAGTACTTTCCACAAGTGTTAAGTGGTAGTTAAGTTCAACCACTGCATCTCTGTAGCGGTCCATTTACTTGTACTCTTTCAAGTCATATTTTGGAGAGAGCTATTTCAGCTTTCAGCCTGCTCAAACTAGTGCTAGCTTGCTGTCCCTCCTTCCTACATGTTGAAAGGATAACCTCATGCACTGCTGAAGTGAACTATATATGAGTGGGAAGATGGTTTTGGGAGCCCTCCACACACTGTAATGTGTGCAATGTACAATACAAACAGTATACGTATTGAATCGATAGTGAGCTAACACTTCCTGTTCTACTTCAAAATATTTCCTTCATTCCATCCGAGTCATTAGCACCGACGATACTGCACAGCTGGCACCAAATGCAACGCAGATAACCTGCCACTCTTGGAGCTTAGGGACATCCAGCTTACAACAGAACCATGCAAACTGATCCGTGAAGCCGCACTTATGCTCGATACATTACACGCAGATCGCAAGGCGCAAGGCAGGCAGTTCACGAGAAAGGCGGCGCTGTTTTGGCGGCGTCGTGCGGCCGACACCCGCCTTTACCAACTTTTCGTACCAAGTTGTCGGAGTGAGCAAAAACGTCCCGCGGGCACCAGCAGCACAGCGACGCCCCTGCTAGATTACAGCCCGTCGCTGGCACTGCCAGCTAACGATGTTGGCAGCACGAGACGTATGCACACAGGGGGGAAACTAGTGCAAGCTTTTGGGGCAGGACCTCGTTTTTCTGCAACCTATAGCGTGTCGATTTGGGTGAGTCGCCTCTTCGACACGCTTAGGTCGCGCCGTGACCTCGCTTCTCGAGCATGTCGCAGCGTATCGCTGTCGAGGAAATACCATATCTCTCCCCCACCTCCACCTCCGTGGTGGGGGGTAGGTGCCGAATCCGTGTTGTGCGGTTTCCTGCACCGCCGTCCGGATTAACGAAGCATGCATTCGTAAGATTCTGGCTCGGGATTATCCCCGGTAGCGGTAACCCGCACGTGGGCGCGGATTAGCGGCCGCAGGCAGGCAGTGCGCGTTAATTACTGGGGCAGATTAATTGTGTTAAGCCCAACGACTCATCGCAACACCTTTGGGACCGAGAGCGACTTGGGGAGAGCTTACCTGATGCGTCCATCAATGCGCAAGGGCTAGACTTGGCCTCGCTTTGTTTTCATGGTGTTTCATGTTAGCCGATGCAACGCAAAGGGGCGCCGATTGTTTTTCCGGTGTTTACAAACAGGCCGAAATAAACTTGGGGGGGAGTCCCAGGCAAAGCACGGTAACGTAGCGAACGGGTGAGGCTGCGGCGAGTTGCTTCGAACGGCCGCCGCACGACGCCTGCGTCGTCGCAAGATATTTTGCCAGAAAAATAAAAAAAAAAGAAAAAAAAACACTAATATAATTGATTGTAGAAACAAGAATGTCGACTGAAACTTTGTGTTCGCACTATGTACGCGTAAACTTAATTGTGTAGGCTAGAAAATTTGAAAATGTGCACTCTGATTGTGTTCTAGTTTTTGTTTCAACATTTATTCCGCACATTTCAGTGCCTGTAGGACTGTGAAAACCAGTAACATCGTGCCAAAACGGGACGAAGGAATTTTATAGAGAAAGAAACCGCTTGCAAATAACTGCAGGAGAGAGACAGCCGATTTTGGTCGAAGACACTAAGTTTACCCCACTATTCTGGAAACCTTGAGGGAATCAAAACCGAAAACCGAGAACCGGCGTGTTACGACAAGTAAACGCTATGACGAGTTGATCGTCATCTTGAAAATTTTAACTATGGTTTGTGGGGGTCCAGCGGGTCCAGCAACGATGTTGGGGTCCACCACTGATCTCTATGCTTAATTCCGGTTCGCGCTTCCCCACTTGGTCGCTACATCGCAACTTGGTGAACCGCGAGTGAAGCCAACGAGTGAAGCCACCGGACGGCCATCTTGCTCATAGACGATTTGCGGTTTCGCTAGCGTTGCAGAGCCCGGCGGCAGCGTGCTGAAGACCCGTTTCTTACGCGTTCGTCGTCGTTCGCCAAAGAAGTGTTGTAAGACCCTGTGTAGGCGTTGAGACTTGGTGTTAAAACACGCAGAACATTTTACGAAAGCGCAGTGCTGCGGGAAAAATGCACAACTTGTCGAAAGCAGTTTCGCTGGTCTCGTGGTGTGAGCTCAGAGCTTTCTTGTTAAGCCGAAGTGCCGCGTCTCTGTGCTGTGCCTTCGCACGAGTGGATACCAATCAATATTCGACGCCATGTGAGTGTGTTTTAAGAGTGCAATGTGCGTGAAGCCGTATATAAAGGCACAACTCGTCGAAAGTAGGGATGCCGCGAACTTTTTTCGACCGAAGTTTCGATCATCGATTCAAGCGGTTCGAAACGTTCGAAAGATTTTGATTTTCTAACTTTCCATATCGAGAAATTCGACGACGCTTTTCGAAATTTTGAACTTATTACGCTGCAAAATTCGATGCTTGTCGAACTTTCAAACTTTATAGACAAAAAAATTCGTTGATTTTCAAACTTTCGAATTTCTCGCACTAAAAAGTTCGAAGCTTTTCGAACTTTCGACTTCCTACGCTAAGAAATTTGATAATTTTCGAACTCTTAAACTTATTAATCTAAAGAATTCAAAAATTGTCGAACTTCCGATTCCTGAAAAGTTAAAAGGTCGACGAACTTCGACCTCTTAGGGTAAAAGTTCGAAGTTAGTCTAACTTCGAAAGACCGGCGGGCGGTTTCGTTTGGATTCAAGCAGTGAGGTACATTCGTAATTATTTTTTTCGCAATTTTACTTGCGGTGCCGCATTCCTTGCGGAAGACAATGCCGTTTATTTCAATGATCTGGCATGCTTGGTTTTAAAGAAATAAAATCCCGAAGGAGCGAGGAAGGACGACCGGTTTTTGACAATTGTCGTTTGTGCCATTGAAGCGCGCTATATCCGAAGCTATTTATGGTAGAGATGTTAAACATTTTAAGAATGATCTATGTATAGCCGAGGTAAGTGTCGTCTTAAGATATGATTATTGTTGTTCAAGAGAGTTTCGAAGAAATATCCAAACATGTACCTACGAGCAATGATGCCCTAAACTTGATAATTGTTTTCGCCTACATTGTTTGAGGTATCGCATTTAAATTAACACCAGAGACAGTACATATCATTACCATCTGCAGAATACAAAATAATGTATTTATTGTTTTTTTCACGCTGGAGGAATAAATTAACTCATGGGGGAAGATTTCTAAAATTTTTCAAATTCAGCAAGTCATAAAAAACCTTTTTTGCCTCATTTTACGTTCTTGGGACGTGTTTCTTTTGGCTTGTACACATTTTGGTAGAAGAAACTTGTTTCATAGTTCTGGGCCTCTGAATATGCAAGAATACAACACTTCCTGCAGGTTCTCAATATTCTTGTTTTTTTCTCTCCAGCTTTTTATTTTTGCATTTATTGTTATGTTTATTTATTGATTATTTTTACCAATGGCACAGTTATTTAGGTCGAAAAGACATAGCTTTGAACTTCCGAGCCACCGAGCATGTGAAGAGGAGTGCCATCTGACAATGAGTTTCTAACAATGACCATCTACAGCGCGATCCAAACCAATGCTTCTTTTTGCGCCTGTAGGTCGTGCGGCTGCGGATGTGACGTATTTCGTGGCGTTTTTGCTGTTTCCGGGCGCGCTTTCTGAGTCAGAACCGTGCGCTTTGGTTTGGACGGGTGAAACTTCGGGCGAGCGCGCACGCAGTCGCAGGCACGAGCGCACAAGCAAAGTGCAACTGCGACAGACTGGCCGGCCAGACGGCGAGAGAAAGAGAGAGAGAGAGAGAGATCGCGTTGTCATGTTGGAAGAGAATAAAAGAGGGGGGGGGGGGGGGAGAGAGGGCAGCCAGACGGCGAGAAACGCGGAGCCGGAACTAGCTTGCCCTCCACCGATTGGCCGGGACACAGGAGCGCCCTACTACGTCACCGCGCGTTTTCGTGCGCGTTGAGAAAGAAGTTGAAATCAACCAACTTTTTTATGCGCGCCCGGAAGGAGCGAAGAAGCGGCGCGACGTCACGAAAATACGTCACATCCGCAGCCGCACGACCTACAGGCGCAAAAAGAAGCGTTGGTTTGGATCGCGCTTACGCGATCTTTTATGCAGTGAAGAGCGACAGTATAGCTATACATATGTATATATAATTTCAGATTAAAATAAGCTCGATCATGCCTTCTTTCCCCGTATTGTTTTCTTTAATAGACCAAAATATCTGAGGGGGGGGGGGGGGGAGACACCAAAGCCCCCCCCCCCCCCCCCCCCCCGTTTTTCCTCTTCCGACGCCACTGGTACGGTAGAATGCTCCTCGACCTCAAGTTGCGTCAGCTTCTGTGCTTTTTGCTCGGCGTTTCTTCTGCCCCAGAAAATAAACCTCCAAAGTAATTACAAAAAAAAGATTGTCCAGGTGCAGGCGAGCTGGTGTATATTGATCATGATGCGAAATCCCGAGACTGGGAATGAAATTCGCAAGAAATAGTGTAAGAAGAAAGAAAAAAGGGGACAGGACAACGTCTCAAACTCAGCTGAGTTGAGTTTGAAACGTTGTCCTGAGCGGAGTTTGAGACGTTGTCCTGTCCCCTTTTTTCTGTCTTCTTACACCTTTTCTTTCAAATTTCATTCCCAGGGCTGAGCTTGAGGCGTTGTCCTGTCTCCTTCTTTCTGCCTTCTTACACTTTTTCTTTCAAATTTCATTCCCAGTCTCAGGATTTTTCATCATGTACAAACTAAACTTACTATATGCCAGCGTCACTCGAGCGGCGTCTGATCAGATTAGGGTGCCTACATGTTTCTGCAGCGGCGGAAACATGTAGGCACCCTAGATCGGATTACTACCAGCGTGCAAGGGGGTAGGGGGGCAGTTTTCCAGATCACTTCAAGGTTTTTCTGAGCCTCAACCACCTGCCTGGCCCGGGCCGTTTCGAACTGGATGAGTATCGTTAAACAGTGCGTTCGTAGGATCACAACTTCGTGATGCACGTTAATGACCACCCCGTGCTGGCGGTCACAATTACTGATCTATTGTCACACGTCACTCTGCACTGGCAAATATTTTAGCACACCCTGGACACTCGCCGTCTCATTTAATTGTGTGACCAACTTCGCGCAGTCTAAATATCACACCCGAACTTTTCTAAACCTGATTTCGTGAAAACCACTGATGCGTGAAAACGTTATTTGAAACTGAAACTGTGGCGGAACATGAAAACCGGACTTCGAACTTTGCGCACTTGGACTTCAAAAAAATTGGAAACCTTCGAAGTTTTTTTCTCGAATTTAGCCCTAAAAGAGAATCGAAACCTTCGACCTTTTCGAACTTTAGCTAGAAAGAAATTCGAAATCTTCAAATATTCGAAACGTTGACATTTTTTTTTAAATTTTAGATCCAAATAAATTCGAAACATTCGAATCTCTCGATTTTCAAATTAGGAAAGTTCGAAATCTTCAAATTTATTGAACCTCAAGTAAACAAATATTCGAAATAATCGTACTCCTCTGTCGCACCCGAACTTCTAGAAATCGTGAAAGCTTCGACCTTTTCGAATTCGAAACCCCACAATTTTGGAAAGTTGCGAATTTTTCGAATTCGAACCTCCGTACGGTCGAAAATATCGAAACCTTTCGATTTCGAACATCACTTCGGTTCGAAAATATCGAAACCTTTCGAATTCAAACCTAGGGTGGTTCGCGGCATTCCTAAACAAAAGCAAGTCCGACGGATCAGGTCCAGAACAGCATTCACACCTGCCAAACGAGTGAGGTTCAGGCTCGTCGACCTCAAGGGCTCCAGACGCAAGGCCTGCACCGGGAAGAACACAGCCATACTACGCCACCTCCTCTGGAACTGTGCAGGCCCGGAACTGAGGAAGAAAACGATCTAGTCCCCTCGGGAAGAGGAAAAACCGGCGATGCTGGAGGAGTGGTCCCGACCCCAGGGAACACCGCAGCACAGGAAAGCAGTCCTCGATTCCCTGATAAGTTACATCAGGGAGACGGGGACCCATCATCACATTTAATTTCTTTTTACATCATTCCCTCCTCCCACTCCCCTAAACCCCCAAGTTCTCCACTTCCCTCCTACCTGTCTTAGGTCCCCCCCCCCCCCCCCAAAAAAAAAAAAAAAAAAGAAACAACAACAACAGGCGAACCATTCATCTCACCAAGAAACATAATTCAACAACAACAACCGCAGTCTTTGGGAGTCGTCAGTCTCCATCCAAGAGCTACTGAAGGCAGGGGCTATCAGGAGCGTAATACTTATTCTGTGTATTTTAAAAGAATATCAACAAAGCA